GACCGGCGGCCTGGGAGAGCCGCAGCCCCGTCGCCGAGGGCAGCGGAGAGGCTGGCTCTCATTGCATGGTGAGGTCCAGCCTGCCGGTGTGGCAACCACCCGGCTGGCTCTTGCACAACGTGCGGGGTGAGGAGGAAGGACGGGGTGCTGGAGTCAGACCCGCATGGGGTGGGGGGCCAGGACACGATGGCATGGGTGGGGGCTCTGACCCCAGGGCTGCACATTTCTCACCAGTGTGTGGGGAAGGACTCCCAGCACATCGTCCAAACCCCACGAGCACTTGCTATCCTCAGCTGATTTCAGAGCATGGCAGAGACCTTGCTCTTCACATGCACGCTCTCACAGTGCTTGCTCTAGCTGCTCACACTACTCACTGCTTGCCCCAAAGAACATCTCCTGATCCCGGCACTTTATGCCATCCATAAAGTCGGTGAAATCGCTCTCAGGGAGGGATTTTTCAGTGTTCTTCCCGTGGTGCCAATGAGATCACGTTCATTCACTACCAGATGATCTTTAAGGTCTCTTCCAACCCTTACCATTCTCTGATTCTATGATCAATGCCATCACTTCTCGTAACGCCTTCCCTCCAGCACGGCCCAGCACCAAAACCCAACAGAGTCACAGCCTTGCAACACGGATGCACAAGAGGAAGTGAGAAAAGAGGAATTTGTTAAAAGAGGAAAAAGGAATATGAAAGCACAAAGGAACAACAAACATTACCCTTTTTAGCAATATTAGACACGGCATCACGAAAGCAGGTCATTGGTTTTGAAACAGCTCTGATGCTGCCCTGAGCAAGAAAACAACACTCCCTGGCTCCCGCCAACTTCACAAAGTGCCCTCACTCCGTCCTGTGAACCTGCAGAACTAACAGCCCGCAGTCAAATGGTAACGAGAAAACAAGAGAAACCTTCAAAAGGCCCTGAGGCCAGGTTAGTAGGTAGGGCTGCTCAGATCCGCTTCTGAGACACTGGGATTTCCTTTCTTAGCCTGTCAGCCTCTGCAAGATACCAGACAAGCCATGGGTGACCCAGGTCAGCCTTGAAAGAAGGTCTGGTCTCCTCTGGAGAGCAGAAAGATGATCTGCATAGGTCGATGGGTGTCATTTCACCGACATTTGCACAGTGAGGTTTGGTGCCGAGCTGTATTACAGACTTGGAGATATGGCAGGACTGCTAAGGCTGGTTGCCACCGTTGTTTACGGCAGGAGTCATCTGGATGTGAAGATCTGCAGCCTCGGGAACCCCACCCTGCCCTGGAGCCAGCCTCCCTGGCAGAGCTCCAGCAGCCTTGCCACCGTACTGCTGCATGGGCAACAAGAGGACCCTCTGTGGTCACCCAGTCAAACCCTCATAGTGACGTGGCCCAGGAGCTTACTCTGCCATGTCCGGCCTAAGACCATCCTGTGGTGCATGGACAGAGGCCTTCTTCATAAAGATGTCCTCCACAAGTCCAACTCCACCACCACAGTCCACAGAATCACACAGAATCACAGAATGGTAGGGGTTGGAAGGGACCTCTGCGGATCATCTGGTCCAACCCCCCTGCCAAAGCACGGTCACCTACAGCAGGCTGCACAGGACCACGTCCACGTGGGTTTTGAATATCTCCAGAGAAGGAGATTCTACAACCTCCCTGGGCAGCCTGTTCCAGTGCTCCGTCACCCTCAGAGTGAAGAAGTTTTTCGTCACCTTCAGACGGAACTTCCTGTGCTTCAATTTGTGCCCATTGCCCCTTGTCCTGTTGCTGGGCACCACCGAAGAGAGTCTGGTCCCGTCCTCTTGAGAATGCAAGTTCCCACCATCTCTGAAAAATCTTGCCTTTCGAAGTTCAGTATTTTTTAAGCTGTGGTGTCAGAGCAGATCACTAGCTCCACAAACACCCTTCCAGCAAAACCCAGCCCTGACCAAAACGTGCTGCCAGTACGTCCAGACAAGTCAACACTTCATTACAGCTCATTTCTGACCATCTACCGCACACATACCAGCTCACCACTTTCCCCTCAAAATCTATCAGCCCGGGTCCCACCTTGGTAAGTTTTTAAGGGCACCATTTATCATCACAGCTGCAGCGTCCCAGCCTGCATGATCCACATTGGCCGTTGGCTCCAAATTCTGCCAGCACTGTTTGGGCTTGCAGACAAGAAGTAAAAACTCTTAAATTATAAAAAAAGGTCTTAACAGTAAAAGCTCTTAGCAAGGCAGGGGGGACAGTAGATCTCTGTAGGACCCTCCTGGGTGCACCTCGCTGGGACATGACTTTGATCACTCATTTGGGCTGTGGTGCCCTGTGCCAGAGATGTCCCCAGTGAGTCACCAACTGGTGCCAGCCAACTTGAGAGGTCCTCCAAGAGCAACATCACACTCCAAGGCGCAGCTGGCTCCTGCATGACCACATTTGCTGTACTCTTAGCTGTACTCATGCTCTTCATTTGTTATTGACCACTGCTTGCATCTGCTTTGCCACACGTGTCTAGCTAATTAGTAGTGCCCTGAGGATGCTGAAATCAGTGTGAGATCATATTTCTGCAATCCTCCCCCCCTGAAAAACGGGGCCAGGGAAACAGGCTCTCGCCCAGCAAGAGCTGCTGCTGCTGGCAGGAGGGAAGAGCCGCTCCCGCCCTCGTTTCCTGTAGCACTCAGCTGATCGACACCCCAAATGTGCTTAATTAGGCTCCAGCTCTTCTACAAACTAGAACTTCCCACACAGGCTGTGGGGACCAAACTCACGGGCTCTGTGAGCTCCTGCCATCCCACCCGCCCAGTGTTTCCGTGTGTTTAATTCCATTTACTTCCGGCTGCCATGCCAAGGCGTGGGACATCGATGGGGTTGACCAAGACTCTGTGAGCTGCTCCTCCTTGCTGGAGGTTAGAGGTTCCTGCTTACAGGCTCATCCCATAAAATAGAGCAGATTTCCAATTAAAACTGGATTAAAAAAAAAGCTCCCAAACCCTATAAATAAAGTGGGAACCTCAACACATGCCCAGCTCTGGCTGAAATTGAGGTTTGTAGTGCACGGTTATGATAGAATCAGAGAATGGTTTGGGTTGGAAGGGACCTTGTAGATCATCTCGTTCCAACCCCCCTGCCAGGGGCAGGAACCCCTCACACCAACCCAGGGTGCTCCCAGCCCTGACCAATCCAGCCT